ATTCCAGCTCACTGTCAGGAAAGATGAGTGAGTCCTCAGGAGACTTCCAGAAAGGCTCCCAGGCAGGGCCATGTCTCCTGTCTGGTACCAGATGGTCTGAGACCACCTCTCTTCCTGCTTAGACATGACCTTATCTTAACAAGGTTCCCAGAACTGCCGGGAGGGGGCAGGCTGGAAAGAGGATAAAGGAAAGGGAAAGCCAGGCCTTGTTTGGAGAGCTGGCAGCTGCTCGGGAGCAGAGGGTGGTCAGCATTGGGCTCAAGGCTGGGTGGGGGTGGGAGGTGTGGAGGCTAACAGTGGCAGCTCTGGGGATGTTGGAGGGGATTGTGAGGAAACCGTTCATCACAGAGTAAATTCCTTCACAGTGGAGGTCCCCATCCTTTCCCAGGGTGGCGTGGCCTCCGTGGGACCTCTGTTGGGTCAGGGCGGGCCTCTTTCTGGTCTTGAACACTTCTGCGTCCTCTACTCTTCTGGCAGACACAGCTGGGACACCTATGTGAGCCAGGCTGTGGGTGGCATGCAGGGGCTGCATGAGGGAGATGGCCTGTCTACTCTGTAAGAGTTCCTGGCCAAAGGGTTAGGTGGGCAGGAGGCAGGTCCCCATGGCCTGCGATCAGGGACCCATGTGGCAGGAAGTGAGAGGAGGTAGTGCAGAGGCCTTCTCTGGGCAGGGTCAGGTCCCACTGGCAGTGACGGCTGCAGTTGGGACAACAAGGTGTGCAGGGGCCACCACCCATAGTGACTGTAGGCACAGAAGGGCCAGCAAGCAAGGAGTGTCTCTCGGTATCCTCATGGGCCACATGCTCCCTGTTCTTCAGGGGCCATCCTAGGTGTCACCTCTGGCAGAGCCCCCAGTCCTCACCTTTGCTCCGGCTGCCACACCCTCTGGGAGTAGAGGATGAAGAACTCTGGGGAGGGGGCTGGGGTGACCTTGGTCCAGACTACCTCTGACCTTGTCCTGAGCTCTTTCTCTGTCTTGAGTCTGACCTGAGCGGGACAGGTTGGGGCAGGAGCTTCGGCCGGCTCCAGCCTTTTTCAGGAGGGAAATGGTGCCTTGGATTAGGCCCAGGCCCCCATCCCCTCCCCTCACCAGGGAACGAGCTCCCTAATGAACACAGGCTTGGGAACACCTGGCACACGTGGAGGCACTCAGAGCCCAGTGACTACCAGGGGACCACAGCAGGTGGGGACAGCAGGGGGGCTGTAGAAACAGTTTGGGTGAAGCCTGTGATCCCCTGCCTAGGGGTATTTATATCTAGAACAGATCGATGGTGAGGCAACTGGTGGGACTGGCCAAAACCTGGAGCCACCTAAGAGGTGAGGTTTCCGACACCAAGGAAGAGACCATACCACCGTGGGGGGAAAGGACCTCCTCTCAGAGGCCCAGCAGCAGGCAGGGCCTCAGGGTGGTCCCTTAGATCCCCCTCTTGGGTGTGACTGCTGAAAGCATTAGGAAAGATGGCCGTGGGATGTGGACATCCTGGGAATTGGCATTTGGGACGCATAACTCAGAGCCTGGGCCAAAGGGCCACCAGGCAGGGGAAGGGCAACCGCCTCCAAGACCATGGGGTGGATTAGAGGGGGGTCAGAGGACCTGAGCTCCTCCCAGTGTTGAGGAGGGAGGAAATGAGGTCTGGCGAGAGACTGGAGCTCTACTGCAATTTAGGAAGGACCCCAACCCCAGGTGGCGAAACAGTGTCCCAGAGGAGGCCTCCTGGAGGGCAGAGTGTCAGGTCCCTCTCAGCCTTTGTGGGGGCCAGTTGAGTCTTGGCCTGGCGAGGGACTCTGGGAATCCCAGCCACCGGTGCTAAAGAGCCTCCGGGTGGGGTGGAAGGGGAAGGCGTTATGGGTCGTGGCGGGGAGTCAGCCAAGAAGCAGGGCCCCGTGGAAAAGCTGCAAGGCGACTTGGTCTCAGGGAGGAGGACTTCAATCCGGAGAGGCCAGGACCGGGACTCTTAGAGGACAGGGAAGAATCCTTCCGGGACAGTCCTGGAGAGGCAGTGGGAAGCCAAGGAGGGGCGGTTCTGAGGAATGTGTGGGAAGGGGTGAGGAGCAGGCTGCGCAGCAGCAGCAGCAGCCCACGGTGAGAAATAGCGTCCCTGATGGGAGCAGGCCAGAACAATCTCTCCACCCCTTCTGCCCCCTGACCCTGGGCTTTCTCCGCTCCTGGGAGAGGGGGGCCCCCAGAGCTTGTCTGCTCTTTTTCCGGAGGGTCAGGGCCCAGTGGGAGCCAAGTGAGGGGAGGTCTGGTGGGGGCTGGAGTGCAGCTGCAGCCGCTGGAGGCGGGCCTGGGGCCCAGATGGTCATCTGCCTGCAGAGCAAGAGGAGCAGGAGTAACCGAGGGCTGCCAGGGCAGATGGCTGGGTGGCCGGAACTGCCCCAGGGCTGATGTGGCCTGGAGGAGTAGGAAGACACAGAGGCCACCCTAAGTGACCATCAGGAATATGTTGGGGGGAGCATTCTGGAACGTCACCCTTCAATAGAAAACAGCATCACTGCTCAAACCAGGAGGCCTACTCCCAGAGAATGTTCCAGTGGCCCAGAGAGGGTGAGAGGTCTGTCTTCAGTGACTGGCCAAGTTTTAAACTTTCCCTAGGGAAGTCAGGGCCCCCACACTGGCCAGACCTGGGTGGACCTCACAGGGGGCTGATGGCAGAAAGGCCCAGAGAGAAGGAGATGGGGAAGAAAAGGACCAGGGGGCTCTGGGTGCCAGGTGGGTTCACTGTGTGGTATCCTGAGACACATCTCCCATTGAAGCCATTGGCCTGGGTGTCCCCTGAAGGGAGAGGTGTTGCCAAAGTCAGCCACCTGCCAAGGGACAGGCACAGGAGTTAGGGATGGAGCTGGCTGGGCAGAGGGGTGCTCTGGGCTGATTCTAGGCTGGCTTTGCAGATCTGGTCTGGCTTTCAAGTTGTTCTCAAGGGCCTGGAAGATTCAGGTTAGAGCAAGGCTCTTACTGAAGATGAATGAATTATACTTGGGTTGGCTTCCTCTGATTCTGGTTTACCTCCCTCCTGTCACTCTGTGCTTTGGTTAATACCTTGTTCTGCTGTGCCAGCCTGGCCCTGGGGGGTAAGTGAAACCAGGAGAAGGCAGGAGCGAGAAGTGGGGACTGCACTGCCCACGGGAATCCCAGCCACCATTGCTAAAGAGCCTCCAGGTGGGGAGGAAGGGGAAGGTGTTTTATGGATCGTGGCAGGGAGTCAGCCAAGAAGCAGGGCCCGTGGAAAAGCTGCAAGGCAACTTGGTGCCAGGGAGGAAGCCCTGGGGTCAGCATTGGCAGGTGGCTGGGCCCATTAGCAGTGAGTGGCTAAGAGGAAGGGGACACATCCTGCAGATTTCCCCTCCCCTGTATCTGGAGGCATCTGGGACAGACTCTGTTTGGGGTTTCCCCCACAGAAGCAGCTGTAAGCAGGACTCCAAAGCTCCCTTGGAAGCCATGAGTAGTGTCCTTCAGAGCCACAGAGCTGTTTCAGCAATGTCATTTGGACTGGAACATATTTCTGAGTTCCCACCCAAGTCACCCAACAGCAGATCTCATCACTTTAAAGACTCATCTTGTTTTTTTTTTTTTTTTTCTGGAAAAGCACACAGGATATCCTGCACTGGATATCCACCCTGAACCAAAAGTTTCACTCTGTCCTCAAAGGCCAGAGCTTTGGGCCCACGGAGGGAAATCAAAGGAATGAGCCCCAAATAATCCCCAAAGGCACATTTTCAAGAAAATGAAGGGTGGTGGTGGTGACATTAAAATAAGGGGGGGGGCTGTCAAGGTGAGCTCTTTGAGGGGACAGTGGCAGTGGGAAAGGACCTGGCCTAGTAAGCTATGGTGGCAGGATTGGTATCACCAGGCTCTGTCTACATCCGACACAGTGAAGTGACCAAGCCCCAGGGCCAGACCACTTATCTGAGCTTCCCTACTGTGGACGTGGCTGAGATCAGTCTCACACCAGGGAACAACAGTGGCACCAACAAAATAGGAAAGACAGAGAAGGAACGGGATATAGCTTGCCTATGTTCATGTGTGAATATACAACCAGTGAAACTCCACATCATGCACAACCACAAGAATGGGAAGCTATCTCCAGGTGTGGAAGTCAAAATACATTCTGTCATGGGTAACTAAAAAGAACAAATAAAACACAAAGAAGGAAGAAAGCAATGGCACCATCAAGCTGTATACTCCCCAAATGAAGCCTTCCAAAACCTGGCAACGGACAGAGCTGACCTCCCATCATCCCACCTGTCAGTTTTGACCACAAAAGTTGCTGCACAAAGTACATGACACATGTTTGCTGAATGGGATGGTGTCCCTGAGAGACCAAAAACTTACAGTGTATTGACTTCAAATCTTATAACAGTGTAAAGTAATACTTCTTTCAACATGGAAAGGCAAAGGAGAGAACACTCAGGGAGCCCTGTCCTGTAAGGATGAAGGAAAGGCCTACAGGGGGCAGTCTCCTGGTCACAGACTTTGACGTTCTACATGGATGGAGGTTCGAGTTGCCTATCATTTTCTAGCTGCACACTTAAGGGGCCAGCTACCCGCCAGGAAGTGGACTGGAAACAAAGGTAATCGTGCCTGCCTGTGTTCCCAGGACCCTTAGTGTGCAGGACATGCTTAATAAAGAAGAACTGTGGCTTCTCCAAATGAAACAGCAGAGCTGCACCCCTCTGGGGAGCCCAGCCTGGGTTCTGTGGATTTGCAGTGGTAAAGGAGACAGGGAGGCCAGGCAAACCGGGTGCTGAGGCCCTTCACCCTGGAACAGCTCAGCTCTGACCTGACTCACATCTTAAACTTCCACCTAAAATATGAGAACATATTTTAGCTCCCTAAAGGGTTTGGAAGTCATGACACTAGGTAATGCCTAGCATCCGGCCTAGCAATGACTTGACACGTGACAAGGATCTAGCTGGGGCTCTCTCTCCATCCCTGGCCCTCCATGCCTCTGGCCCTGTCCCCAGCAAACCGTCACCCTGCCCCTGCTGCAGCTGCGCACCTGGTGAAGCGGACCTCGCAGATGTTGCACATGTATGGCTTCTCCCCGGTGTGGGTCCTCATGTGCCGCGGCAGCTTCCCGGCCCCCATGATGACTTTGTGGCAGATGGGGCACTGCTGAGATGCCTTGGGCTTCAGCTTGCGCTCCTCCACCAGTGGCCAGGGTGGGAAGAGGCTCCCCAGGTGGGTGGCACTCAAGAAGTTGAGATAGGCACCGTAGTCGTTCTCTGCCTTGATGGGGCCTAGTGGTCCCCCAGGCAGGTCAGGGAACATGTCCTTGAAGAAGTCGCTAGGGAAGGGTGGGGGAGGGGGCGGGGGCAGCTCTTCCTTCTCTTCCTCCTTGATCTTCCGGTTTTTGATGACCAGATCCAATGGCCCACTGTCCATTGGCTGCTCAGGCAGCTGGGCAAAGGCACCAAAGTCTCCCGGCCAGAGGTGTGGGAAGAAGTCTGGGGCAAATGGAGATAAGGAGGGTCTCCGGTCAGGGATGTTGGCTTTGGGGTACAGGTTCTCCCTCAGCAGAGATTCGATGGAGAAGTCCCGGATCACCCCTAGATGGCCAGGGCTGCCGGCCTGGAAGGAGTCTGGGAAGTCCCTGGGTGTGTCTGAATAGGCCTTCTCCGTGAGATGGTCCGTCTTGGAGGGGCTTTGGTGGCAGTTGATGTCCTGGGGGTCAGGCAGGTTTTCTTGGTCAGCAAAGTCCTCCGTATCGTCGTCGTCCTCCTCCTCTTCCTCCTCCTCCTCCTCTTCGTCCTCCTCGTCGTCGTCGTCTTCGTCGTCGTCGTCATCCTCCTTGTCGTCCTCCTCGCCGCCCTCGCCGCCGGGCTCCATGATCTCCAGGCACACGTTCACGATGCACTGGATCTCCAGCATCCGGGCGGCGTTGAGGATGTGCTTGACGTTGGAGGCGGTGATGGTGAGCGTGGAGGTGTAGGCGAACTCCAGGATGGCGGCCAGCGCCTCGGGCTGCACGAAGTCGATCTCGTACACGTAGGGCTGGCTGGCTAGGCTGCCGGCCGTGAAGAGCTTCTTGAAATACTTGCTGCAGGCGGCCAGGACCGAGCGGTGCGTGCGGTACTCCTGCTCCTGCACCACCAGGAGCACGTCGCAGAGCAGGCCATCGTGCCGCTGCTCGTTGAGGCTGCACAGCACCTCGCTGCTGTGGTTGGGGAAGGGAATGCCGATGAGCTCGTCAATGCCATTGGCCATGTTCTCCGCCCGAGCCCTGCGGACACGAAGAGGGAGGAGGGTTAGTGAGCACTGCCAGGGAGGACTCCGTTGAGACTCTGGACCCCCTGCTCCTCCGCACCCTCTGCTGGGCGGAAGGCTCATCCTGCAGGAGAAAGCCAGCCCTCCTCTCTCTGGGATTGGCCAAACCTCACCTGCAATTCACAGCTCGGCTCAAGCTGGCGCTTCTCTCTGTGCCCTTGGACTCTTGGAGTCAGTGTCTCCCGGGCACTGCTTAGCAAAGGCCACAGAGACTCCTGGCGGGTTTGAGTCACCAAATTTCACTTTGTAAATGTAGAATTGGGAATGCCAGCATGAACGACTTCCTGAGAGCCAGCTATTCTATCCGCCCAGGGCACAGTGTCCACCTCCCACACAGGACCACTGGGTGCCTCTGCTTAGGAAACCCTCTGGTTGTCTCACAAGTCCTCAGACTCCTTACAGACTCCCATTTTGCACTGGATCCCAGGAAGCTAAAGACCAATTTTATGGCTCATTATCAGCAAGTGGGTGGAGCCTCCTGGCATCTGTTTGGTCACCTGCCCCTACTCCTGGCTTCACTGTAGCTGATGGAGTTTCCTTTCATTTGCAAAACTTGATCTTTTTGACTTTTAAAACTAACATCTTATCTGTGTCTGTCTGTTTCTGTTATAAATAAACATTTGAAACCCACATAGATGCAAGCACATTGCTAATTAATTTATCATGTCTGGATTCTGTTAGCCTCCCAGTTTTATAAACCCCCAGGGAAGAATCTTCTTCTGAGACCCCCCTTTGTCATTATGGGTGGTCCTGCCTGATGGATGGCTTGATTTAGCATTTTCAACTGTAGGATGGTGTAAGGCTGCACCTCTACACCACCCTGATTTTCACTGTCAGTACAGTATTCAATAAATTATATGAGATATTCAACACTTAATTATAAAATCGCTTTGTGTGAGAGGACCTTGCCTGCCGTAGGCTAATGTAAGTGTTCTGAACGTGGTTGAGGTAGGCCAGGCTGAGCTATGATGCTTAGTAGGTCAGGAGCAATAAGCGCATTTTGACTTAACATATTTTTAACTTATGATGCATTTATTGGGATGTAGCTCCATCATAAGCAAGGGACATCTGAATATATGTTTAGTTTGAAGTGTGGCCAGTTGTGGCCATCAGGAAAGGAGGGCAGAACAGAGATTGATTGGCATCGCCTCCTTTCAGGAAGCACAAGTTCCAAGCTATTGACACTTGCAATCTGATGAAAACTGGCTCCTGCCGGAGCGGGTAGGGTCCTTACACTCATGGCAATGCCTGCAAGTGGCCCATGGATGAATCCTAGCAATGGCCTGATCCTTATCTTGGTACAAATTAAAATGAGCAGAAAAGATAAAGAAAGACCTGTAAGCCCCATGTGTCAGTGGGAATAGCTCTGGGGATCCCCACACCTGTGTCTTCTGGGAGTTTCAGCCCTGAGATGGCAAAGGGAGGGGAAGGAAGGAGTGAGAAGTGTCAGGCCCATAATGAGAAGGCACCAGGAGCTGGTGGATGTGCTGGGTGCTGGGTGCTTCTCCCCTATGTGCACTGGGCAGTCTGGGCCTTCCCTAGGCAATTTCACCAGGCAGTGCTCAGGAGGCCTCCCAGAGCTAAGGCTTCATGCTTCCCACCTACTTTAAAAGGACCAGAGACCCCACTTGCCATGCCTTCGGTCCCTAAAGAGGCATTTGGTACTCTCCCTGTGCCAGACACTGACCTGGGCGCTGAGGATGCACAGAGAGCAAACCAAGAAGGTCCCTGCTCTGATAGGGCAGGGAACCCTGAGGACAACAGAGCATGCCTTACCAAAGAGGGCATACAGATGGGAAAGAAGTCATCTCATTTGAAAAGATGCTCCTGGTTGTTAGTCATCCTAGAGGAGCAACTTAGAACTACAATAAGACATTGCTACATACCTCTTAGAGCGGCTAAAATTTTAAAAAGTGAAAACACCGAGTACTGGTGAGGATGTGAAGATGGATCACTCATACATTGCTGGTAGAAAGGCAAAATGGCCCAGCCACTCTGGAAAACACATTGCAAGTTCTTAGAAAACCAAATACGTAACTATTGCAAGACCCAGTGATTGCATTCTTGGGCATTTACCCCAGAGAAATGAAAACTATGGTCCACACAATAACCTCTACACAAATGCACAGAACTGCTTTATGCTTAACGGCCAATAACTGCAAATGACCCAGATGCCCTTCAACAGGTGAGTGGCTGAGCACACTGTAGTGCATCCTGAGCATGGGTCAGCAAAGAACAGGAGCATGCGGCCACCTTGATGACTCTCCATGGGATTACGCTGAGCAAAACAAGACTGTTCCATTGGCTACATTTATGTAACATTTTGGGGATGACAATGTAATAGAAATGGAGAAGAGATGAGTGGGAGAAGAGTAGGTGTGGCTCTAAGAGCCACAGGAGGGGGTCCCGTGGTGCTGGAAATGTCCTTTATGTTGACTGGATGCATGTCAGTGTCCTGGTCCATACAATACCATGGTTTTGCAAGATGTTACCACTGGGGAAGCTGAGCCAAGGGCACATGGGATGTCTCTGTATTGTCTCTCACAAGTGCATGTGAACTAATAGCTAGCTCAAAATAAAAAGTTTAGTTTAAAAAAGTAAATGATAGAAAACAACTCAAACCAATCAATTATTTTCCCTACCCTGATTTCTATCCATCATCTGTCTACTGCAGGATATGAGGTGGGGGGGTGGCGGGAACTATTTTACCCAGGGAGGTCAGTGGAGGCTTCCTGGAGGAAGCATCATTTGAATTAAGACCTAGAAGACGAGAAGGACCCCGCCTTGGGTCACTGGGGGGAACAGGGTGGGAAGGCCCATCAGGATGCTCTTGGTCTGGAGGCAGCAGGGTCTCTTCTGTGTGGCCCCATTTAACTCGATTTTTCCACTTCTCTGTTTCCCTGGTGGCTCTGAGGGGCCATGCCTGCACACAGTCCCTGGGGCTTGTGTGGGACTCGCTGAAGGATGTTCCTCCTTCACTCTGACCAGAGAGGGTGTCTCCAGGCATATGCTTCAATAGACTCTGCTGTAGAAAGATCCGTGGGCTGCTTCCTACCACCTAGAGTAGGAGATGAACTCTTAGGGGCTCCCTCCTTTCCCTGCACCCCAGGCCTGATCCTCACTCTAGCAGCGGGAGCTGGAGGAACTAGGGCAGCCTGCATGGCTGAATACCAGGTGGCTCCTTCAAGACTGCTCTGCCCTAAGAGGGTGACTTTGTGGGCAGTTGGACGGGAGGCCAGCAGGCTGCCCATCTAGGACCTGGATCTGAGGGGCGCTCAAGTCCAAACTACATTTAATTTTGAATGTGTGGAGTCAGAAGCGGTATGACCTTCTATGCAGTGAGCAAGGGGACCTGAGGTCACCTGTCCTTGGGCCCCAGCTCTGCTTTAGATATTGAGGACCCATGGGCAGACTGCAAGGAGAGTGCAAGTTCCCCCGGTCAGCACCTTCTGTCTTCGGGCCAAGTGCTGGCCCTAAGCAATGGTTCCTGGAGGAGGTGTCAGGATCACCATCTGCCCTTGGGCCTCCTTACAATACAGATATCAAGCACCTCCTGTGATCATCACTCCCACTCTACAGATGAGGGGTGTTGTGCAAGGATCTGAGCTTTGAGCCACAGCCAGCTCCAGCTCCTGCCTCTGGCAGCAAGGGTAACCATTTGTCTGCTGTCACCCATGAGTGGCCTGGACTTTGGGTGAAGCGCTCAGGGATACCTATGTGGCAGAGGTTGGGAAACACTGGAGACAGTAACAGTTGAGTGGTCCTGCCTTCCAGGGAGGCGGAACAGGCAGGGCAGCGGCGGACTGAGGCCCCCAGGCTGCCTCAGGGGTGCAGCCTGAAGACACCCCGAGCCCAGGCTCCTGCTCTTCTCAGTCTCAGGGAGGAGCTCTTCTCCCAGCCCTAGACAGAGCTGCTGGTTCCCCAGGAAGGTCCCCTGCTCTGTGGCAGTGACAAGGCTCTGCCAGGGAAGAGTATGAGGGGAGGGAGGAAAGGAATCCGAGGCTCAAATTCTCCATCCCACCTTTTGAAAACAGCTGTGCTTGGCACTCACATGGATGGGGTGCCTGGCCACAACCCGCCCCTTCATGGATCCCAGATGTACCTCTGTGCCCCTATTCTTCGATTCCCAATCACAAATTCCGTTTTCAGCCTTTAAGCCTTTGCTCACGCTGGTCTCCTGCCTCCAACAAATGCACCTCCAGAACTCCACATCCCACCCACAGTCCAAGGTCCCACTCAGATGACCATTTCTCCATCCCTCTGTCAGACGCTAGGCCTCTCCAGCCTTTGGTCTCCTGAACACTTGATGATCCCTGTCATTTATTTGATTCTGTCTTGTACGGTAACTGGTTTTCATATGTGTTTGGGCATCTCTGCTAGATTATAAGCTGCTTGAGGGCAGATAGTACCTTTAAATGATGGCATTCATCTGGTGAAGGTCTATGTAAAGGGTTGTCCTTAGCCACACTAAAATGAACTGTTGTGTATGTTGTTCACAATGGTACTCCATCTATTAGAAGACTGTAGTGGCAGATTCAAAGATGGTCCCCAGTGATTCTTGCCTCTTGGTGGCAAGGTTTCGTGCCTTTGTGTGTTCCCTTCCTATATAACTAAGAATGGCCTGTGTGACCAATAATCTCTGTGGAAGTGGTGATATGTGACCTCTGGGGTGGGGTCAGGAAAGACATCATTGTTTCAACTTTGCTCTCGTTGGATCATTCATACTGTGGGAACTAGTGGCCATATTGGGAGGATGCTCAAGCAGCTATCTGGAGAAAACCATGTGGCATAGAACTGAGGTCTTCTGCTGACAGCCAACATGTCAATTATGTGAGGAACACATCTTTTGAGTGGTTTCTCCAATAGTACTAGAGTTCTGGTAATGGGAGCCCTGACTGCAGCCCCAAGAGACACATGGGACCAGAGCTGCTCCATTGAGCTTCTCTTACATTTCTG